GATTAATTAAATCTAACGAATTTTTCTATAGACAAGAATGGCTTCTATACGAGCTAGCTCATTAAATAGCAGAATTAATAAATAAGTCTAACAAGTTTTTTGTTCCAACTTTTCCTTAGTCAAGAACAGGTTCTACGCAGGCTAGATCTTTAATTAGCATATTTTTCCTATAAGTCAAACAATTGTCCTCATTAATAAGTCTAATGATTCTTATAAATTCGAAAAAAAAGAAAAATTTGTTAACTAACTCTTTCTAGCTTCGAGCAGCTCATAAATTAATATATTAATTATATAAATCTAACTCTAATACTCCCCTGTAAAAATCCAGAAGAAATCCGTGAAATTGACCCAACTTTTTCTTAGTCAAGAATGAGTTCTGTCTGCTTTTTCGAAACTGTCTGGAGACTGTTTGATGGATTCATTTAAAGCCTTAGTCCAAAGTTTATCATAATATTGGGTAACATAATAGCCTCTGATATGTAATGGGTATCGGCCACAAGCAGAAGAGGTAGGTTTACCACAATCAGAGCAAGGGATACGTTTTTTAGCTTTTTAATGGAATCGATATCCTTCAAAGCGAATACAAGCTCTCCCACAAGCCTCTCCAGAATTTTTAAGATAGGAGCAAAAATACTCACCGATCATCTTGCTATTTTTATCACTAAATTCAAAAAAGATTAATAATAATTAGTTAATGCTTCAGTTTTGCAATCCTTTTTTCCTTCCAGTCATAAATTCAAAAAAGATTAATAGTTATCTTATATAGTGTGAACTAAAAATATCTGGCTTCGAGAAGGAGAGATCGAAAAGTGATATGTACACTACATATATAATAATTAATTAAAGAAAAAATTTTATAAACAAGTAAAAGCGCGACGGTTAGAGCTAACACTATGGTTAAAAAAACAAGAAGTGATAAGAAAGTTAGAATCTGTAAACGTTGTGGTCGTGAATGCTCAACATCTCAAAAACTTCGTGAGCATCTTAAGCGAAAAATTCATGCAAACTATTACAAGAAGCTAACCAACAACCTATTGAAGAGGATATTCAAAAACCTGTTCAAGTGGCTATTCAAGAACCTATTCAAAAGAATAGAGACTATATTAGCCAGGAGGAGGCAGACAAATGGGTTAGCCCAAATGCCCAAAAACCTGGTGAACATTTTAGAACATGGGGAACATGACTACAAAAAAGATAGAAAGAACTTGGTCTAGGTAAATGTCTTAAAACAGAAAACTTGGATGACTGTATGACTCTTTGTCATGATCTTGAACAATATGATCCAGAAGTAGTTAGACCACCAACAAAAGAGAAATTAAAAGAAGAATATAAAAAAAGAAAATTAGAAGAGATTAAGAAGAGGCAAGAAAGACCAAAAAAAGACCTAGAATTTAGAGAGCAAGAAGAGCTATAGCTGTACATCGTGCAAAAGTTCCTAAATCTCATCCAGATAATGGAAGCGATATACGGAAAATGTTAGAAAGCCAAAGAAAGCAGTTTAGGGAAATACTTGAAAAGGAATTCGATAAGCGCGGACAATTTAAGTTCGCTCTATGTTCTCTTACCAAATTTCTTATAGATAATAAACCTGGAAATGAAAAACAGGGAAAAAAGAATTCACGAACTGACTGGCTTAGAAATACGCAAATTATAGTTTATAATAGAAATAAAATAGATGATTACTTAAGCAGTGCTTTCGAACAGATCCTATACCAAGTGGAGGAGAGAGGAGGTAAGACTAATTCT